CCCCCAACTGTGACGATTCACCCCCCGTTTTGGGTGATTTTCACCCCGATTTGGGTGTTTTTCTTTAATTTTCCCATTTTTGCCCGTTTTTGGGGTTTTTCGCCCCAAATCTCGCCCTTACCGGGTGTGGTGTCGGGGGGCAGGCGGCGCAGCCCCCCCTAAACCCCCAGCTGTGACGATTCACCCCCCGTTTTGGGTGATTTTCACCCCGATTTGGGCGTTTTCTCCCGATTTTCCCGTTTTTGCCCGTTTTTGGGGTTTTTCGCCCCAAATCTCGCCCTTACCGGGTGTGGTGTCGGGGGGCAGGCGGCACAGACCCCCCTAAACCCCCAACTGTGACGATTCACCCCCTGTTTTGGGTGATTTTCACCCCGATTTGGGCGTTTTCTCCCGATTTTTCCCGTTTTTGCCCGTTTTCGCCGTTTTTAACCCCAAATCTCGCCCTTACCAGGTGTGGTGTCGGGGGGCAGGCGGCAGACCTGGCGGCACATGGCCACGAAGCCGTGGTAGAAGCGGGTGAGCTCCTGGTCGGAGCGGCGCTCCAGGTTGGCCAGGGCGCGGAACCGGCCCCAGCGGAACCTTCCGGAAGCCGCGTCCAGCTCCACCCCGAAGGTCGAGGCCACGCGCAGGAAATCCGACTGCTCGCGGCGGCTCCACCTGCGGGGGGAGAGGGGTTTGGGGTGAGAACATGAAAAAACAGGAAAAACGCGAAAAAATGAGATAAAACGGTAAAAAACGGCCAAAAAACGGCAAAAAACGGCCCAGAAATGGCAAAAAACGACACAGAAACAGACGAAAAACACCCCAAAAATGCCCCAAATCCGACTGCTCGCGGCGGCTCCACCTGTGGGGGGAGAGGGGTTTGGGGTGAGAACGCGGAGAAACGGGAAAAACGTGAAAAAACGGGAAAAAACGGGAAAAAACGGCAAAAAACGACTCAGAAACGGCAAAAAATGACACAGAAGCGGCAAAAAAAGGCCAAAAAAAGGGCTCAGAAATGGGAAAAAAACACCAAAAAATGGCCCAGAAATGGTAAAAAAAAGCCACAAAACGGCCCAGAAATGACCCAGAAATGGGAAAAAACGCCAAAAAACGGCCCAGAAACAGGAAAAAAAACGTCAAAAAAATGGCTCAGAAATGGGAAAAAAATGCCAATAAAAGGCTCAGAAACGGCAAAAAACCACAAAAAAAACGGCCCAGAAATGACCCAGAAACGGGAAAAAAACGCCAAAAAACGGCACAGAAAGAGGGAAAAAAAAGCCAAAAACCGACCCA